CCCCCCCCCCCCGGTAGACTGAACCCTACAGGCACTCCCACGAGGACTCTACAGGCACATCAGGACCCGCACACACAAGGGATGCCACATGCACTTACCTCCTTACACACCAACGCCTCCACTTATAGAGGACCCTGCACACACCCGTGCTGACCCCCGTGCACATAGGACCCCACAGGCACCACAGGGATCCCTGCATACTTAAGGGACCCTACGTGCACACCAACTCCACACGCCTATCATCCGGGCGCACACCGACGTCCACGCACATAGGACACCCTGCATGCACATGGGAAGCCCTCACGCACAGGGAAGCCCACATTCACTGATCCCCCGGCACACGATTCCACAAGCACCAGGATCCTCCCCCACAGAACCATGCCCATGTACGGGACCCCATACGAACACTGAGAGTCCTTCACTCAGCAGGTGCCCTGCTAGCATTGCTCCACGTGGACAGGGGACCCCGTAAGCACACACTCACCCCCCTCAAGAAGTCCTCAGTCCCCCTAAACACTTCAGATCCTTGCTCAGAACCCCAGTTCCCCATTGGATCCCATTTAGGGCCTGCCCTGCGGTCAACCATGTGTCCAAGCCAAGTCCCCTGCCAAAGCTTCTCCCTCCCCAATCCATGCCGGAATAATCCTCTTCCTGCCACTTTCTGGTCACCTTCCTCCTCGTCCCTCTTGACGCATGATCCCATCTTCTGGGTTTCCAGGGTTGCTCTCAGTTTCATTAATTCCCTCCCCAAGCACTGTGAGACACCCCACCAGCAGAAGGTGGTGGGCACGCAGACACAGGGTGTCTCACACCAGTGCCCAGGCAAGACTGCCGTGCCATACCTGCGCAGGGGGGGCGGCGAGGGGACCCAACCCAACCTGGGCCAAGGGAGGCCTCCCAGGGGAAAGAAACTCTGGGGTCAGCTGCCTGGGCTAGGGAGAAAGGCATTGCTTCCAGGCCCTGACAACAACACGAGAGGGTTGGGGGCACAGAAGTGTTGGTGTTTTGGGTAGGTTGCGGGCAGTGGGGAAGCATGTCGATTTCAGCAGAGCAGGGTGGCGCTATGCATTAGAGTGAAGCTTGTTCAGCGGCAGCCCAGCGGTTCAGAGCAGGGACACAGGTACGAGACACCCAGCCCTGGAGGTTACGGTCAGGGCCTGGGACCAAAGGATGGATGAACCAGGGAGTGGAAGAGGCAGGTGAGCAAGGGCAAGGGGGATGAGCTGTGGCCAGAGGTCCTTGCAAGCATTCCGCCAGAAGCTGCTGGGCACGCTCAGGCCGAAAAGCAGGGCAGGCAGGTGGGCCTGGAAGCCGGCAGGAAGCTGGGGGGGGGGGGGGGGCATGAGGCTGTCTGTCCACACAGGCCACTCTAAGCACACACTCCTTGACTTTTCCCACCTCCCCCCAGGAAAATGAGCAGCAAGAAGGGGGTGCCCAAAGCTGCATCAGGGAAGTGGCAGCCATCCCTCCCTGGAGCCCAGCCGAGAGCTGTTGCTGGTAAGTGAGTCTGACCTCCAGAGCACCTCCACTCCAACACTGACTTGTGAGCCCCTCGCTGCAGCTGCCAGAGATGCTCTGAGAAGACCCTTCCCTCTGAGCGTGGCTTTCAAGGGATCTCTGAGTTGGGCTTGGTATGGTAGACCGAGGATTCAGGGCTCAGAAGTCCATTCCAGACTCTAACCCTGAGACTTGTACCCCTGGGAGGGATCAGGGAGCAGTATTGGGAGCCGCACAGCGTTAGAACACGGAGATGGAATGCAGGCCCATGTGGACTGGAGACAGGTTCTGAGACAGCTCACTTAGAATGCATGTTGGGGATTCTCAGGCTAAGTGTGTGGTCCACTCTGACCCTCCGTTCCACCTGGGCCATCCCCTTGCTTTTCCCTGCCTACAGCTGCTCTCTCAGGCCACCTTCTCCATAGCCACTCCTAGAGTGAATGGTGACAGCTTGCCCTTGGTTCCGTCCTGTTGTGGGTCAGGAAGGGCCCCTTCTCTCCTTCCTACCCCCACCCATTGTCCTTCCCTTCTCAGTCCCATTTCTTCTCTGTCATGGCACCCATGAGTTCTCTGTGAAGCTGTCAGCACCTTCCAGCCTGCAGTTCTGGGTCCCTCCAGCATCCAGGCCTGCACTGGGGTCCGTGTTGGCTAATGGAGCACCCACCCTGTTCCCCAGCTGCAGCCCCTCTGCTCGGAGGGGGGCTGACCCAAGTCCCCGGACCACAGAGAGCTCGCAAATCACGCGCCCTGCTGGGGTGACGGTGACTACTCTCCCATGCCAAGCCGGGGTTAGACCCTAGCTTCCAAAAATAGCCCCAGCGGCGTCTGAGGAAGCAGCCTTTCTGGAATGAGGATGATGGGCTCAGGGCCGCATGCTTCTTCTGTGATCTCAAGCCCTGGGAACACAGACTGCAATAAACAGTGGAGGCAGGGCAGGCAGCCAGGAAGCCTGCCAGGAAGCCCTGTTGGAGGTGGGGGGAGGGTGGGCATGTTCCTCACTTCTGCTACCTGCTGACTGCCCACCTAGGGCCTTGCTGCAGCCCTCCCCCTGCACACCCCAAACACTGCCCTGGACAGCTCCAGCAGTTCCCTGCCCTGGCCCACCTGGCCAGGATGCCTGGGTCCCCTGTAGGAATACCTCTGCCTCAGTTTCCCTGAACAAGTGTCCTTTCTGGGCACCCTCTACCTGCCAAACACTGGGCCAGCCTGGGAGGGCGTGCTCTCACATGGTCTTTGTAGCACCCTGTGTGGTGGGCACACCTCACCTCACGAGTGTGAAAAGGGCCCACTGTTATCCCACAGCCATCCCGGCCTCTGGCGCCCTGGCCCTCTGCAGGAATCTGTAGGTTGCTTGCATGGCTACCACACCCCCACAGATTGTCCGGAACCTCCCCCACCCCCTTACCTGGCCTTGGGTCTGCAGCACCTCAAGGCCCTCGCTCCGGAGTTGTTCCAGCGCCATGGCCAGCTCCAGCCCCTCCACGCGCACCCAGGCCTGCTCCTCCTGTAGCTGCTGCAGCCACAGCTGCTCCTCCTGCCATAGCTGCTCCCTCCACAGCTGCTCCTCCTGCCACAGCTGCTCCTCCTGCCACAGCTGCATCTGCAGCTGGACCTGCCGCCGCCAGTCCTCCAGCAGCCGCTGCTCCTGGGCCAGGCACAGCTGGACCTTGTGGAGCCTGAGCAGCTCGGGACCCAGGCCCGGTGTGAGGGCCCCTGCCCCACAGCCTTCCATGTCCGCAGGGGGGACTAACACCAGCTCGGACCCCAGAGCAGTGGCCTGCACCGGTCCCTCGGCTGCTTGTGGCCGCTCTGGCTTGGCCACCCTGGGGTGTCCCTGGGCAGCTGGCTTGTTGCTGGTCACGTGCTCCGCAGGGGCCACCCCCACCTTGTCCTGAGGGCCCCCTGCGGCGGGGGGCGGGGGCTTGGCCTCAGGGCCCTGCTGCCCAGAGGCCTGCTGTGCCTTGCCTGCCCTCCTGCCTCGGGGTTTTCGAGCCCGACTTCGTTTCCCCGACATGGCCCCAATCCGGCGCCTTTCACCAGGAGTCTGCTCCCTGGGGGCCCTGGCTCATCGCCGGCCAGCCGTGATCAGGCGGGCGCAGCGGGCATCCCCGGGAGGCCACAGTGGGCCCTCTGCTCCTGCCCTGCCCCTTGGCTGGTGCCTGTGGTGCAGCAGCTCCAGGCCCCGGCGCTGCCTGTGGGCCTCACGGGCCCCACTCGTTGGGCTGGGCCACGCTGGGGAGTTTATAGGGACTCGGCGGCGTGGTGGCTCACCCGGGCTCGAGGGCTGACTAACGTGCTGACACAGGGCGCGGGACTTTACAGGCCACAGGCCTCGTTGGCCAGACTGGGAGGGAGACTGAGAAACTGGAGGAGGTGGCTCTCGGCAACCAGATCCCGGCTGGGTGTAGCAACGAGTCTGGTCCTGCCCTGGGCGGGCCCCAGCGCCGCCTTCCCCGCCCCTGGTCCAGGGCAACCCACCAGCCCACGGGCCCAGGAGCTGCATCCCAGTCACACTGACCATCCAGAGGAGACCCTCCCTGGCCACAGACAAGCCCAACCCAACTAGCCTGGGAGCCCCCAGGCCAGCAGGCTCAGAGGAGCCCCCCGGGGGCCCAAGCTTGCCTGGGGTGCTCTGTGGAGGTGACACACTATTCGCCCAGCCTGGTGGCCTCCTGCTGGGGGCTGGGGGAAGAGCCGGGGCCTAAGTCCCGATGGCATTTTGTGGACTGAGATGGGGCAGCAAGGCACAGTCCAGCCTGCCCTAGGGTGGGGCAGGGGCTCTTGATGCCTCCTGGTTGGGGGTCCAGCTGCCCTGCCCCAGAAACAAAGGCCTTTGTATCCCCCAGGGGGACCTTGGTGGGGTGGGGGTGTACAGGGCCAGCCTGAGTGCTGGCGTCCCCTGGGCTTCCTGTTGGGAGGAGGCCCCAGACAGCCTCCTTCCCAGCGTTTCCCCAGCCTGGGGCCGCTGACTCACACCCACGCCCAGGGCCCCATCCCAGCCAGCTCTGCCACACTGGCTTGACTGGTTTGCCTAGCACAGCCCTGCTGGGAGCACCCTCCTCCTCCTCCCACTCAGCCCTTGTCCCTGAAGCTTCAGGGGGAGGTAGACAGCAGGCCACCACCTGGGGGGCACAGGAGGACACGCAGGACGAGGGCACCAGATGCCGGGCTGCGTTAGGGCTGGGGCAGGGACTTCGCCCCACGTGGCTTCGTTAGAGCGAGGGCTTCAGGACCCGGGGCCAGGGGCGCCCCACCCCCCGCGGCACCCCAGGGGGCGCCGCCGGACTGCTGGGGAGGACATGCCCGGGTGCGCGCTCCTTAACCGCCAAGAAGCACCTGTCCTCCACGCAGCCCATAAACGCCTCCGGAGGGTGATGGGAAGGGGTGGGCCCACGGCTCCACTGCACTGACCTCCCCCTCCCCCAGGAAGCCGAGAGAGACCCGCCAGTCGCCGAGGAAGACCGGCCAGCCGGCCAAGCGCCCGCGGCCCCTGAGTGCCCAGAGGCCCCCGCAGGTGAGAGCCTGCGCGCCCCGCGTCCGCTCTGCTCTCGGGGCCGGAGGGGATGGGCAGGACTGCGGGCGGGCTGGCGGGAAGGGGGCTGCCCCGGGCCGGGACACGCGTGGTGTGCGTGCATGTGCGTGTGCGCGCGCGCGGGTGCTCGCGGAGCCGCGTGGCCCTCCCCGGGGCAGGTGGAGCTGAACCCCGGCCTTCTCTCTGACCGCAGCAGCTCCGTGCTTTCCCGGCGAGGGCTGGGCGGGGTTGGCCCCGTGCCGCGTCCCAGGGGCGCGGCCTGTCCGGGAATCCCTCTCCCTCACGCCTTTAACGCGCGGTGGTCGTCCGCTGGGCCACCACCTTCGTGTCCCACCGTGCTTCTCCTGCCCACTCTTGGGCGCCTGTGCCCGGGGCCTCTGTCGCAGGCGGCGGTAGTCCTCTTTTTTTTTTTAAGATTTATTTATGGGGGAGGAGGGGCAGAGGGGAGGGAGAGAGAGAGAGCGGGGAGCTCCAGGTGGGGCTGGATCTCACCACCCTGAGATCATGACCTGAGCCGAAATCAGGAGTCCACCGCTCAACCGACTGAGCCCCCTGAGGCACCCCAGGCGCCCCCGGGCTGTCTTCTCAGGGCAGGCATAGTCCACTGTAGTCTCTTGACACCGACCTCCAGAGCTGAGTCCTTACCAAATCATCGTCCTGTACCCCGAATCCATATTCCATCGCAACCCCCCAGCCCTGTCCTGGGTGTCTTCAAACTCACCAGCACATCCAGATGCAAACCCCTCATCCCCTTCCTCTCCACTGTCCAGTCTCCTGAGACTGCACCCTGGTGACCCTGTGCCCAAGCCCTCGTGCCCAGATAGGTCTTTGTGGTCTCTGTTTCTCTCCTTCCCACCCTGGTCTTGGTCTCTCCGCCCCCTGACTCCCATTTTACTTCTGGCCTGTCCCGGGCAGAGTGGCTGGTCTCAACCCTCACACAAGCCTGGTGTTGTGTGGGTGGTGCTGGCCTTGCCCCAGCATAAACTCCCAGCACGCCACCCACACACCGAGGGCCAGGACAAGGAGCCTGACCTTGTCCCGAGGACAGGGGTGGACCACTGAAGGTTTGTAAAGCCCTGCCTTATATATGCGCGACGTGTTTGTTACTCGTGGTTCCAGATTATGCATAGTAGGACTGACTCTCTGCAATTGAAGCAGAGATGGAATGTGCTGGAAGGATGCTCAGTAGCTGGAGATTTGGGCTGGGAAAGAGGCAGAAGTGAGAGGGAGTGGAGGACACAGGCCAGGCCCCAGAGGAGTCTGAGCAGGACGCCCCATCTGTCCTTAGAAGCCCACACTAGTTGTATCCTCGGCTCTGCGGGTCCACCAAGAACCCGCTCTACCTCTGCCCCGTGGCCTGCTGTTACTCCTGGGGAGAGGCCGCCCACACTTCCGCCACACTCTCATTGTCACGGGGAAGGAGGGCCCCTTTTTCGGTTTCTATGGTGGGCAGGGGGCTCCCACCAAATTCCTCAGAACAGCACCCGAGCGGACAGGGTGGGAGGCCTGAGTCTCCAGCAGGCCCGTCCCCTCTTCTCTAAGGCCAGCTGTTCTGGGCGCGAGTGAGGCTAGACAGGCCCCACTGCTCTGCCTCTTTCTGCTGTGAGGTGGGGGCTCGGACTGGGCATTCAGGGGCCAGCAGGTCTGTGCCGATGGTGGTGTGAACAGCTGAGCCAGTAGGAGCCTCCCTGCGGGAACCCATGTCAGCCAAAATAAAGGGTGTCCCCTTCGCACGGAAGGTGTCCCGTAGGACTGCCGCACTCAGGCCTCGGCACCCGGAGGATGAGGACGTCCATGGGCCCCACTCTGCTGCCGTGGCCACATGGCTTGTGAGCCGGGAACAAGTCTGTGTCCGTTTGCTAGCCCAGAGCCTCCTTTGCAGTGAGGACACCTGGTCAGCATCACATGGACAAACCGTTCTCAGAGCCTGGGTTTATTCTGAGAAGTCCGTTCAGAGGGCGTCTCCCCCAGTCTCGTCGCCATCACCCCCGTTTCTGATGACCTGCCCAAATCATCAGCCAGAGCATAGGAGTTGGCGCCAAGAACGTGATTGGGCAGGACAGTGTCTGCTCGGCCTTGGTGTGGGGGGCTCGTGCTTAGGGCCCAAGTGTCCCCAGCATCCCTCCCCCCTCGGCCACTCCATGCACTGGCCTTCGCAGCCGCACCGGGTGGCCGAGGAGAGAGGCTGGCCGGCATCCCTAGGCTGTCCATCTCCTCTGCAGTGGACTCTCTCCGGGGCCGTCACAGTGAGAGGCAGAGCCAGCACGGGGGGCTGCTCCTGCCGCCTGCCCCCCACGTGCCTTTCCCAGCCCTGTTTGTCTCTGTCCATTTCCGGCTCCCGATGAACCAGCCAAGCCTTTCCCCGTTGTCCTGGGGGCAGTTTTCTGCGCCCCCCAGGCCACTCTTCCCATCCACGGGGAGTAGATGACCAGGTTCCCCCCGGAGACTGTCGGCCCCGCTGCCCCGCAGGGTCTCCTGACGGAGGAGGACGACGGCGGGCAGTCTGAGTTAGCGCCGCCGGGTGGACTCAGCTGTGTGTGTTCCGGCCGAAGCTTTCCTCCGCTGTGCTGTGGGCTGAGGAGAGGCATCAATACAACAGAAGGGAGGAGAGCGTGGCACGGCTGTCTGGCTCATGGAAGGGACTCAGGCCTTCCCGGCATTTCATTTCTACCATGCGATGGGTTCCCGCTGTATCCGCCCGATGCCAGGAGTCCCTGGAGTGAGGACCGCAGGTTGTGATGGGTTCCTCGGGCAGCATGTTCTCTCCTGTCCTGGTTGGACTTCCAGCCTCCACCAGGGCCAGGAGGTCAGGAGCTGTTCTCCAAACCAAGAAGAGTGTTCTGCCGTGGAAGGCACAGCCTTACTCTAGAACCTTGGAGCCCTGCCGCACCTTTCCCGTGGGGGCTCACCAGAGGTTCCACAGGGCACCCTTCTGCCCACAAATGCCTACAGCATGTCGGACCTGCTGATGAGGTGGCCCCAGCCTGGCGGCTCATGCCTCAGCCACAACCTCTGGGCCCTGCTGGGACCATTAGCCTTCTGGGCCTCCCAGCAAATGGGGTGTGCGGTATTCCCAGAGACATGATGCTGCTCAGATGTTCTAACAGGCTTGCCCACCACTGGGCTTCTTTCTTGAGGAAGGAGGTACAAGGCACAACCATTTTTTTTTTTTAAGATTTTATTTATTTATTTGAGAGAGAGAGAATGAGAGACAGAGAGCACGAGAGGGAAGAGG